AAAAAAAAAAGACAGTAGTGACGGTTGCACAACACAGTGAATGTAATTAATGTCACTGAATTGTAAACATAAAAAATGCTTAAAATGGCAGATTTTATATATTTTTTCCACAATAAAAAATTTTTTTTAAAAATGCGTTAAAGACCTAAATGTGACACAGCAAACTATCAAAATCCTAGAGGAGAACACAGGCAGCAACTTCTCTGATATTGGCCATAGCAACTTCTTACTAGATATGTCTCCTGAGACAAGGAAAACAAAGCAAAAATAAGCTGTTGGGACTTAATCAAAATATAAAACTTCTGCACAGTGAAGGAAGCAATCAACAAAACTAAAAGGCAACCTGTGGGATGGGAGAAGATATTTGCAAATGACATATCTGATAAAGGATTAGTATCTTAAATATATAAAGAACTTATAAAACTGAACACACAAAAACAAAATAATCCAGTTTAAAAAGGGCAGAAGAAGGGCACCTGGATGGCTCAGTCGGTTAGGCATCTCTTAGTTTTGCCTCAGGTCATGATCTTGGAGCTTCATGGGTTCAAGCCTCGCATTAGGCTCTGTACTGGCAGTGCAGAGCCTGTTTGGGATTCTCTCTCTTTCCCTCTTTCTCTGTCCTTCCCCCACTTGCACTGTCTCTGTCTCTCTCAAAATAAATAAACTTTTTTAATGGGCAGAATATGTGAATTAATATTTTTCCAAAGAAGACATCCGCATGGCCAACAGACACATGAAAAGATGCTCAACATCACTCATCATCAGGGAAATGCAAATCAAGACTACAATGAGATATCACCTCACACCTGTCAGAGTGGCTAAAATCAACAACACAAGAAACAACAAGTGTTGTTGAGGATATGCAGAAAAAGGAACTCTCTTGTACTGTTTGTGGGAATGTAAACTAGTGCAGTTTGTGGAAAACAGTATGGAGGTTCCTCAAAAAACTAAAAATAGAACTACCCTATGACCCAGTAACTGTACTACTGGGTATTTATGCAAAGAATACAAAAATACTGGTGTGCCTGGGCAGCTCAGTCGGTTAAGCATTCAGCTCTTGATTTTGGCTCAGGTCATGATCTCACAGTTCATGAAATCGAGCCCCTAGTTGGGCTCTGTGCTGATGACACAGAGCCTGCTTGATATTCTCTCTCTCTCTCTCTCTCTCTCTCTCTCTGTCTCCCTCTACCCCTCTCCCCTGCTCACTCTCTCTCCCTCTCTCTCTAAAATAAAAAAGAAGATGTGGTATATATATGGTGTATGGAATATTACTCAGCCAAGAAAGAGGATTTAAGATGGCAGAGTAGTAAAGGGACCCTGGGCTTGTCTTGTCCCTTGAACACAGCTAGATCAACATCAAATCATTTTGCACACCTAAGAAATCAATCTGAGGATTAAGAGAACAATCTGCATAATTTGGGGGAGAGAACGTGGCAGGTTTCTTTTAACAAATCAAAGCATACCTAGTTAAAGGTCCAAACACTCCCCATTTAAAGCAAGGAGGAACTCTGCAGAGGACTGACAGACAATTTACAGCAGCAGAGGCCACATAGCATATACCAGAAACACTTCCTGAAGTGCCAGGCCCTGGACATTGTATAAACCCTTCTTACTATAGCATTACTCTCAATAACATGAAACATAACAAGCTTTCATACACACAAAAGACAGAAACCTAGATAAAATTACAAGATAGATTAATTCTCCCCCCAAAAAAAGATCAAGAAGCAACCACAGTCAAGGATTTACTCAAAATAGATATAAATAATATATCTGAACAAGAATTTAGAAAAACAGTCATAAGAATAGTAGATGGGCTTGAAAAAAATCACAGAATATACCAGAGAAACCCTTGATGCAGAGAAAAAAAAACCTAAAAATTAGGCCAAAATTAAAAAAAAAATGCTATGAGATGTAAAACTGAGCGGATGTAATCACAACAAGGACAGAAGAAGTAAATGAATGAATAGGTTATACAGAATATAAAATTATGGAAAATGATGAGGCTGAAAAGGAGGGAGAAAGAAAACTATTGGATCACAAATATAGACTTAGGGAACTCAGCGATTGTATACAGTGCAATACTATCCATATCATAGGAGTTCCAGAAGAAGAAGAAGGGGGAAAGGGGACACAAGGTTTTATATCTGAGAACCGCTAATCTGGGGGGAAGGGAAACAGGCATTCAAGTCCAAGAAGCACAGAGAACTCCCCTCAAAATCAACAAAAACAGGTCAACACCAAGACATATCATAGTGAAACCTTCAAAATACAAAAACAAAGAGATAATTCTGAAAGTAGCTAGAGACAAAATGTCGTTAACCTACAAAAGTAGACATATAAGGTTAGAAGCAGATGTGTCCACAGGCCTTCTGGCAGGCCAGAAGGGAGTGGCAAGATATATTCAATGTACTAAACAGAAAAATATGCAGACAATAATACCTTATCCAGCAAGTCTGCCATTCAGAATAGAAGGAGAGGTACAGAGTTTCCAAGACAAGCAAAAACTAAAGGAGTTCATGAACACTAAACAAGCTCTGCAAGAATTATTAAAAGGAACACTTTGAGCAGGAAAGAGAGACCAAAAGCAACAAAGACTAGAAAAGAACAGAGACAATCTACATGAGTAGCGACTTTCAGGTAATACAATGACACTAAATTCATATCTATCAATAATTACTGTAAGTGTAAATGGACTAAGTGCTCTAATCAAAAGACATAGGGTCAGAATGGATAAAAAAAAAGACCCATTGATATGCTGCTTACAAGCGACTCATTTTAGCCCCAAACTCACTTCCAGATTGAAAAAACAATTGAAGATAAATTGAAGAATAATGTATCATATTAATGGACATCAAAAGAAAGCTGGAGTAGCCATACTTACATCAAACTAGATTTAAACAAAAAACTGTTATAAGAGATGAAGAAAGGCACTATATCA